AGTAATTTATTCATTCTAGGTCTCTAGCATTTTGTCCAAAAATATCCTAAGAGGTTAATCCTCAGGTAACTCACAGGTAGGTTGCTATAATCACATTTGAGTGAAAAGGGGGAGAGTTGTTCTGTGATTTTTGTAGTTAGAATCACTCCAGCCTCAGGATATATCAGGGCACAGGACGGAGTCACCCTCCTGAAGCTGAGCTGGTTCGGGGATGGATGAGAAACTTACCTGGGAATCCCTTGCACTCCATGATGAAAAACAGGCAAAATGTAAATGTACCACAGAAGAATAAGAGAACAGCAGTGGATTAGATACACACACATATTCCACTGTGCTTTAGACCTTTTTAATGCTAATGGGAAAGTGACAGTGGATACCAAGATAGGTGTTATAAACTAAAGTTTGCCTCTGCAATCAATTTCATAACCGGTTTGTGGTAAATGTCCTCTCTTTGCTGTTGTTAGCTGCCCTAGAGTCGGTTCTAACTCATGGAGACCCTTTGGATGAGACAGCTCCAAGAATCCCTATCTTCCACTGCCTTGCCCAGATCCTACAATCCTTTCCCCATAACCCCCCTGACCGAATCTATCCATCTGGTTTGTGGTCTTCCTCTCTTTCTTCTACCCTCTACCTTTCCTAGCATTATTGTTTTTTCTAGTGATTCATGCCTTCTCATTATGTGGCCAAAGTACGATAGTCTCAACTTGATCATCTGAGCTTCCAAGGAGAGCTCTGGTTTGATCTCTTCAAGAACCCATTTGTTTTCTTACCTGTCCATGGTATCCTAAGTACTCTTCTCCAGCACCACATTTCGAAGAACTGAATTAGAGAGCCCATTAATAAAATGAAACACTGTAATGTGATAGCATCATTTATGTATTCTATTGTATGTGAAACAAATCTATATTGTATTTAACTGTAAGCTGGCTTGAGTCCTGAGAGAAAGATGGGATATAAATAGAGTGAGCGAGTCTGTGGATGAATGAATCACTAGGGCAAAAGCCACAAAGATAAATCCTGTAAAATAAAAGATTTCTTTGGTGGGGGCAATAGAGATAAGACGCAGATGGAGAACCGTCATTTGGAAAGAATGTTACACAGATTCTAAGGTTTAAAATGATGACTTGTTGGCCTTAACAAGTCTCTTGACCTTGTACCATCACTCTGAGAGGCTGCAGTATATTATCAGGACTGGAATCTGTTTAAACCTGGCTCCTCGTTCTTTGCTCATGGCAGCTCAGGAGACAGAAGGAGAAGGTGTCCATTTTAACTGGATAACTACTTTATTTAATCCTGGAAGATAATTACTGTGATGTGTGTGTATGCCTTCAAATCACTTATTGACTTATGGCAACCCTAAGAATTTCATAGGGTTTTCTTAGGCAAGGAGCACTCAGAAGTGGTTTGCCTACAGCACGTGGTATTCCTTGGTGGTTTCCCATCAAAGTACAACCATAGTAGATTCTGCTTAGCTTCCAGACACATATTTTGGGAGCTCAAGTTCAAAACACCTGAAGATACAAAGTTTGGAAGCCTCTATTAAAAAATATGGGAGCCCTATTCCATATTCAACCTAGCAACTTTATATCAACTAAATAATGTGCCAAGCCTACATCACAGAGTTATTGTGAGCATAACATGGGAAGGAGAGCCATGTAATTTTGTGAATGAATGTGTCAATTAAGGATTATGGAAGTTTTGGTCCTTGAGAATTGGGATGGTCTGGAGTCATAAATTTCTCTGATGTCTTAACAGACTTTGGTTTCCTCCTTTCTAGCCTACCGATCAGTTCAATGGTCAAACCACCAATTTCAATGGAGGCAACTTCAGCAGCTATGGACAGGCTACGATGAATGGGGTAAGTCATCTTGTTCACTTTAATCAAGATTTGCCTAAGAATTAGCTGGGATGTGGAGATACGAGGGGGTACCATAAAATTTTAATTATCATCTTTTTAAAAATTTGACAGAAAGTTTGTTTTGATTTTTAATTGTTAACTTTTCTCCACGAAGTCACTATCCAGATTTACACATTTTACCCAGCGTTTATTGACCCTCCGAATACCGTTATTGTAGAAGTCTGCAGATT